TAACTACTGTTAACGCAATGGCTGGAAGTCTACAAGAACATCCCATAGACTTCCAGTCATTGCGCTAACGTTAGTTAGTGATTGCGCAAAAACACAAGAAAGCAACTTCCTTCAAGCTGTACGCAGAGAAATAATAATAATATCCACGAGTTCATCTGACTCTGGGGAAGTAGATAAAGGGCCTCATTGCCAAAATCTAGAACTACCCCTTTAAGCCTTTACTCCTGTTATATATTTATCATGCCAGTAATCGAGTCATACTGTTAAAATAACAACACAGGCATGTATCATTTATGCTTAGGCTCCTGCCAAGGTAGGGATACTGTTGTGGAGCCTACCTCCTGTCTTTAAAGTTTTACCTGCTCAGTCAGGTTAAGACCAGTGAATTCCAGATACCCCAAAGCTGCCACAAACAGAGCCAGCCAGACAGAGGAAAAGCTTCAGTTTCACTAGACAGTGAAATACTGTGGGCTGGGCTGGCACAACAGATGGAGCTTAGAGACTCCATGCAGTACACAGGCTCCTTTTGTCTTTTCTTTCTTTCCACTGCAATTTAGACTCCTTCTTTTTCCATCTCCTCTCTCTATTACGCTGTGATTTGGACATCCTCAACATCCCAAATTAGATGGCCATGAAGCCAATTCAGTCCTTTTCTTATCCATGAGATTGTGTATGTGCCTTAGGTTGTGTCCCCACTGGGGTTCTGATGGTGGGGAGTCTGGGTACCTAGTGCTCTGATAGGTTTCTGTGCTTGAAGCCATCTCCAGGCTCTAGACACCATGGGCAGCCATGTTAAATGTTAATCTCATTATTGTATGCAAACAGTTAAAGGTCGCCATGTGTACTGTGACCTTCTCCCATGATGCCCCCCTGCCTTGAGCCAGGTATGACATACAGTAGGTGGGGCATCTCCATTATATTTCCTTGATTCCTTGGCATTGCATACTCCTCTCTCCTTGCCGTCTTCTCTTAACGCATTGGAGGAGAAGGGCCGTGGGGAGGAACCTGAGATCTTCTCCTCCAATTGGTTTTGAGAAGGATGCGAGGATAGAGGAGTATGAGTCTAATCAAGGATATACAATTAAGGTTCACCCATAGAAGGGTAAGTGGATGTGAATAAAGGATTGTGGGAGAAATTAGGCTTGTGTTATTTCAGGGAAGAATCAATATGCCAAAAGAGGAACAGGATGTAGGGAGGTGTGAGGTGATGTTAACCATTTGAACTTGAAGGGTTAGTTTGAGGTTGTCTATACGCTGAGAAAACTGCCCAGAACAGACAAGGGTTCACCGGAAATGCCCTTTGCTTCTAGCCTGGTACTCTGATCTGTTTGTGCTCTTGCCAACGCCATTGCTAATTTTCAAGCAAAACATGACAGAGTGACAAGGAGTTGGCATTATAGTGAAAAAAAACACTGGCACTCAGGCTACCTTTTCTCCACTAGGCATTAAAAGCAGTAAGTCAAGTGAGGACAATGTGTGGATGATCTTTGTCTGAGTCTCTCTAATGCTCTCTGTCTCTTTGTCTAGTGCCTCTTCTGTTCATGTGACCATGGAGAAATGTAAACAAACAATTGAAAGAGAGTGGATTTCAGTTTTTCCTTTTTGAGGTGGATCAGATTACGTTATGACATGGTGACTGGGCCAGGACACATTCAAGGCTAATGTAAGGATAATGTAAACAGAAAAATTGCAAAAATGTGGTTGAAGAAAGGCAGATTTTCACATTTGGTTAGTGTAAATGTCACAGGGTAACTGACCCAGGGTAATGTAAGGATAATGTAAGCCTAGAAGTTGCAGATTTGATGTCAAAGAAGACTTATTTCACTGGTCTAAAAAGGCTTGGTGCCCCATTAACTCTTTCATGGGTCTGTCTTTTAAAGTCAACATCCGCTCTCTGCTTTCTGAATCATAAACATCTATCCACAATGAATCATTCCAGATCTATAGGGTCAAGAATACAATACAAAAGTGTTTTTATTTATTATTATTTTTATTTATCACAAGTATTTAGCCTGAGTGCCAGTCTGTTTTGTGCTATCATCCCAACTCCTTGTCACTCATTGGCATGGCTTGACAATGAGCAATGGAGTTGGTAAGAGCACAAACATATCTGGGACCAGGCTACCAGTGTTGTGTTAAATAACCTGTGGTAAAATGAAAGTTAAGCCGAAGACGGCCTCCCTGTTTTAACTGTTACAGAAAAACTAATTAATTATGAGTGGTTCTGTTTTATTCACTTTGACATTTCACGGGCTTCTCATGCAAAAAACTACTTTGCGATTGATAGTGACTTAGTGACTTCCTTCTCAACACTACCAAACATAAAAATAATCAAATCTTCCTACTTGCAGATTCTTTATGCTCCACTATCCTTCAGTTACATAAACACTAATTGTGGTTATCGAGGTGTGTGTGTGTGTGTGTGTGTGTGTGTGTTCTAGACCTAGAGGGGTATTGTGAAGCATTGTGAAGCGTATAGGAATGATAAGACCTAGGAGACAGGAATGGACCGTGGAAGACTTTAACGAATCCACTAATTGTGTACACCTACATACAAAAAGACACACACGCAATTGTTTTTCTCTTTGTTTTCTGTTTGTTTTGTTTGTAGGCCAGTTGGTTTGTTTGTTAGATCTCACTCTCACCTTCCCTCACCTTCCCTTTCTTTCTCTCTCTTTCTCTTTCTTTTCCCCTCCTTTAGTCTTATAAGCTGCAGGGAATTTCTCAAACAAACCGACACAATCAAACCCAGAAGGAACAGAGGACTGAACGCACAAATAAATCACAGAAATCTTCTCGTCCTCGAACAATACAGCCCAGTGAGGCTAGACCAATGTGTATCCCAAATGGCACCCTATTCCCTATGTAGTGCACACATTTTTACCAGACCCTGGTCAAAAGTAGTAAACTATAAAGGTAAAAGGGTGCCATTTGGGATACAGACCAATATCAAAGGCCTTCATTGATTCGACTCCTTGATAATTCGGTCACAACATGAAATTATTTTTGTCCTTGGAATGCATCTAAACTAACCTGCCAGGCAGGACTCCCAGGGCAGTCTTTCTAGCTACAGTACAGTGTATGTGCGTGTGTGTATTTGTGTGACTCCCCTGGCTGCAGGAGACTGATATGGCCTTGGGGTGAGCCAGAAAGAATTCACTGACTGGCTACAATGACATCTATTCAGCTAGCTCAGGCAAGTGATTCAATAATAGTGTGGGAGTTAAAGGTATGGGCTGTGTCTCAAATGGCACGCTATTCCCTATAAATTACACCACTTTTAACCAGGGTCTGTAGTGCCCCAGATGCTGGTATTTGGTACTTCAGCCTGGCTGGCCTGGTCTGGGATTCACCCAATTAATGTCATTATGAATTATCATGTTGTCTACACTTATAAAGACTAATAAACATAGACTAATATAATACCAATAAAATACAAATAATTCTATGTTTGTATGTTTTTAAGAGATATTGTGAATTTAATTTGACACTCACAATCAAAGCATTGTAGATACAGAATCATTTTTGCAGGGATGATCCTAATATATAATAAAATATATAATATATGCCATTTAGCTCACGCGACTTAGTCATGTGTGCATACATTTTACGTATGGGTGGTCCCGGGAATCGAACCCACTACCCTGGCATTAAAGTGCCATGCTCTACCACCTGAGCTACAAAGGACCACGCTATATGATAATGTATAATATAATGATGATGATTTATACTGCATGTGTCTTCAGTTTTGAGTTACTGTAAGGTATTGTGTGTGGTATGGTATTAGTTCTGTAAATGTTAGATATTAACTGTACTCACATGGTGTTATTTATTGTATTGCACCATCTGTGTTGACACGCTGGGTTCCAGAATGCTGCACAGAATTGAGTTCATTTATGGTTTATAAACACAGTGACACATTGAATAAACAATCATCTGATGTGTTGCACCATAGTGTGTATACCGTAGCTCACACTCATTTAACACCCATCTAACGTGTGGTGAGCATTCTGGCACAAAATGGTTGCCGTCCATCACCCAGGTGGGTGCCACACATTGGTGGTGGATGAGGTGAGTTTCTCCCTTACTATGTAAAGTGCTTTGAATACCTCAGTTGGTAGAAACGCGCTATATAAGACCAATCCATTATTATTATTATTATTATTATTATTATTAGGGTTTCATAGCTTAGAGCATGAAACGTCATTGCTCTGAAACAGAAGATAGTTGGAAATAGACAGATTCATTATCAGTGACTGAAAAGAGGGTGTTTTCAATTATAAAATGTGGTGAGTTGCACTAACTTCACGTCCAAAATCTTCATGCTTTCCATCTCCATTACGGAATAACTGCCATATTTTGCATTATGACCTATGGCAGAGAAGGGAAAATGCATTTGATCAACATTCCATTTTCAAAAATAGACTGAGACAGCACCTTGTAGTGTGTGAGGTTGCTAAAATGAAAATACATTTGCTACAAGCCCTCCTGTATTTCCTACACTCACCTGGGGAGTCTCATCGTCCGTCGCCACCCAGACAGATTGTTCCCTCGATGTTATTGAGAAGATGGGCTTGCTTCCAACACCACACTCTCCTTAATGCAGGATTGCAGCAGGTTGTAGGTCCGAGTGGCGATGGTCGGAATTCCCATGATCGCAACCATGTTCAGGAACTTCGTTGGACTCCCTCCAATGAACAAGATGGAACTTGTGATCATGAGTTTACCTAATGTCATAGTGTCATGGGTTGGCTGGCTTTTCCAGGTACTGGTGTGTCCTTAGGGACAAAGTTGGTCCAAAACAATGAGTGTGCCAATGCACCGGCACAGGATGACGCAAAATGGCTGGGCACAGCGAACCATGCACCTCAAAAGAAGGAAAGACAGGCTGCTCTCAAAGACCAGGAATTATTTTTGTTTTCCTGGTCTGTGGTCTGCTCTCTGCTCTTCATCAACTCTGATGGTATCTAGATCATCTTCCTCCGAATCCTCATCTGAGGTCATCTCCCACGATCTTCATCACCATCATCTTCGTCTGCTCCACAACACTCAGCCAACTCTTCCGCCGGAAGTTTCCTCTTCTTAGGGGTATCGATCTGGAGATCTACCTGGATTCCCCTAGAGTATGTAGATCTTCTCCTAAGGGCCTGGCAGGATTGTATTACTAGTGGTAGAGTTTGTGTCCCTTGGGTTCTGTGTTTTTGCTCATCCACATTATCATCAAAAGCAACGTCCACTGCGTCATCCACAGCATCGTCTTGCCCAAATGCATTTGGAAAATCTGGAATGGTAATTCATAGAAATGTGTAAGTAGGATTTGTATGCCAACAAGAAAACGGATTAGGCTACACATTTTGTCTGACTATAGGCACCATTCCAGCTCTGAATGACATTTATATCTGCACCATAATATGCTCCTGAACACAATCCGAATTCCCTTGAGTGTCTTGCCAAAGGCATATGAATTAACTACCATATATTTGATCTAGCCAATGTGTGGACGATACGTCATTATCCTACATTTGTTTTGATCCGCAAAAATATTTATGACCGGCAGCTGTCAATTGGATGCACACAACGGTATATCTGTAAAGTTTTGGATGATAGACATAGACTGCAAGCTTGCAAATGTGTATTCTAAATGTCCTGGACTGTTTTGTTGTCACACTACCATAATGTGTGCACCACAGAGTTTTGGCACAAGACATGATAGCCAGTCTAGCTGAGACTAGCTAACGTCAGCTAGCTAGCCAACTCAACTGTCAGGCAGTGGGAATTGGCTAGCTAGTTTACCCATTTCATCGTAGCTATAAGATGAATAGTTTAGGATTTCATTCTGGATACGTTTAAGTATGGGCAGGATGTCTAATATAGCTATAGGGCAGTAATTGTTGTAGCTAATGACACTGAAAATCAAATGTATGTCTCATAGCTATGTAATATTAGCTAGCTAGCTAACTTATCTCCTACAGTGCCTACAGAAAGTATTCATCCCCCTTGACTTATTCCACATTTTGTTGTTACAGCCTGATTTCAAAATGGATTAAATATATTTTCTCACCCGTCTACACACAATACCCCATAATGACAAAGTGAAAACATACTTTTAGAAATATTTTCTAATTTATTGAAAATTAAATACAGAAATACTTTGAGTCAATACTTTGTAGAAGCACCTTTTGGCAGTGATAACAGCTGTGAATCTTTCTAGGTAAGTCTCTAAGAGCTTTCCACACCTGGATTGTGCAACATTTGCCCATTATTATTTTCAAAATTCTTCAAGCTAGACAACCATTTTCAGGTCTTGCCATAGATTTTCAAGTAGATTTCAATCGAAACTGTAACTTGCCCACTCAGGAACATTCATTGACTTCTTGGGAAGCAACTCTAGTGTAGATTTGGCCTTGTGTTTTAGGTTATTGACCTGCTGAAAGGTGAATTAATCTCCTAATGTCTGGTAGAAAGCACACTGAACCAGATTTTCCACTAGGATTTTGCCTGTGCTTAGTTCCATTCCATTATTTTTTTCTGAAAAACTCCCTAATCCTTAACGATTACAAGCATACACATAACATGATGCAGACCACTCTGCTTGAAAATATGGAGAGTGGTACTCAGTAAGGTATGGGATTTGCCCCTGTCTTGACGTGACTTTCATTATTGTGATGACTATAATTTATAGAATAATTACTACTATGTTTAATTGTTACTAGATTAAATTAATCATGAAAAAATTAACTCGTTAGGAATTTGGAGCACCACGGGAAAAGTTGTTTAACGAGTTACCGTTTATTTACTAACTAATTAAAATGATAACACAAGATACAAACACATACATATAGGTTAGGGATTAGAACTTAATATAATGAAAACAGGTCCCTAGCAGACTAACACAATATGACACTTGTTACAACAGATGGCAAGTTAAAGAGAGAGTGAGAGAGAAATCACTTGGATACACATGGAACTACGCTCACAGTAATCCTAATACCTTGCCAAGAACTGCCACCCGTTTGGTAAGAAGTAATGCATGTATTTACGTGTTGGAGGTCTTCGTCGTGTATCTCTGTTGGACCCAGGCCTTTGTGGAAAGGGATGGGCTTTAGATGTAAGGCTCTGATTGTCCACAAGAGGTCACAATTTCCTTCTTCTTAGTTGTCTGTTTACTTTCACTCGTTCTGGAAGTGGTCTTCTGAGGACGGCTAATCAGCCGTGTCGATGATCCCCTGTGGGGTGATGAGAGCAGTGTAGTAAACGATGGTTTGAAGAAAGTAACAGGGTGGTCCCATTTAAATTCACCTTGTTAGATACAGTGCTTAGAACAGCTACTCAGCCGTAACATTGATTGTTAGTGCAGGCAACTTTGTTGTCTTCACCTCGTGTTGGTTTTCAGGGTCGGGACCAATATGGACCTCGCTGCAGCTGGAGGTCCGTCTAGTCTTTTTTGTTAATTCTTAACTCAATCTTTTATGCACTCTGGTAAAGAGGGCATTTACGTAATGCGGACACTATCTGAGCTCCCGTGGGTGTGGCTAGTTACTGGGGCAAAGTATTCTGAACACTATGATTTCGTTAAAGAACCAAAATCATCTTCCTATCGTTATAAAAATATTATCTTCCTCCGGGATATTTCAAACACATTATAATGGATGCAGACTTGAAATGCACAGTATGAAAGCTCCTCAAGTTGCAATGTTTTCGTTATACATTTTTTATAAAAGTTTTAATGACATAACAAAATAGACATTACTTTTCCAAATTCCCTCTCTCATCACTTCCAATATTCGGATGTTGAAATATACTGTTCCAGTGTCCACCTTTGGTCGTTTAGAGTTTTGGGCGGCAATCCCTGTAACACAGAGACATTCAGATCTGCAATACTATGGAATAACAAGTAGTTAGCTGCTCCAAACCATTTGGCGCGAGGGGTCATAACCCCCCCACCCCTCCCCCAACCCCCACCCCTCCCCAACAATCTCTCCTTTGTTCTACGGGAGAGAGAGAGAGAAATCTGTAGACTGTTGCTTCTCTGTATTCCGATCTTGGGCTTCTCACGTTAAACCATCACGAGAGTAATGACAGTCCCCCTCTGGTCGGTTCCAACCTAGGAAGTATTCTGCAAGTTGTAATCCCCCCCCCCCCAACCTGTAGTCCAGGCTAGTGGATCTAGGCAGTGACTTAGACAAACGTTAATAACGCACACCACTCACTAAATACATCATTACATTTTCCCCAAATGAGTGGCGCTGTGGCACTAACTGGTGGTTGTATGGGGAACTTGTTTGTGGCTCTATCAAGTGTCAAAGGAAATGAAGCAAAAACAAAGACACAAACAAACAAAAGATATACAAAATATAGTGACCACACCTTAATCATCTAATTGGACTATGTTCTATATACGTTGGATGTCTTGGCTAAATTACTCTATCATGGCATTGTCTCTAATGTCATATCTAGGGCGATCCTACTCGAAGGTGGGTAGTTAAGGCACTCTCTATATGGCACCCTGAAAGACAAAGCTTGCATTGGGGACACTACAGGGCTGACCTAGCGGACTCTGGAGAAGAGGCGGGGGATGCTGTGGATGGACCACCTGATGCCGTTTCAGGATCTATTGCCAATTTTCCAGAAATCAGGATTGCTTCCGTCCCACCGGTGATTCTGACATAAGACCTCATTAGTTCTTCCATTGTGCGTGTGCGCCTGTGTACATAGTAGGTGCACACACCAAGGGCGATAAGACCAAGGATCGTGGTAACACTCAGAATACTGTCCGGCACCGTCCAAGAGCGGATGACAGACCAATCTTTTGGCTGGTAGTCAGTCGGGTCAACTAAGAGTGCCTCATCCAGTACGCTAAGATCAACAGTCATTGATCCCTCATACTGGATTTGGTTTTGAATGGTCTGTGGTAACTCAAGGGAACGTTTAGCAAAAGCGTCAGGCATTTCAATATTGGTGTCTATCCTGTCGTCAGGAAGTTGGTATAGGGCTAGGTCGTCTGTGGATAATCGCCCCCTCTGGTACCTTAACAAAAACAGTCTGGTTGGGGAGGTTCAGTTGGGTGTTTGAGTCATGGCGTTCATAAGTCATAGTGGCGGACGTGAGCAGGGTGTTAACCAGCCATCGATTCCCTACCACCTCCACCTGTGTGGTGGTGACCCCATCCCTTGCTGTTAGTTTGGCTCTACAGCATCCTTCACTAGCTATAGGCTTAAGTCCACAAAGGAACTCGGTGTTATCCCTGACAAATGGTTTGCTAGGACAAAGGTAGTGGACGTCTTTGGTTAAAGTACACATTAACAGGTTAGGGGTAAGATATAAATCTGGATTGTGTTCCTGATAAGTTACGACTGGGGGTGTGGTGATTTTCACATGGGTGCTGTCGCGCCAAAACCCTACGTTTAGAACCGTTTCCACATCTGTATCCGAGTCTGTAAACAAAACCGGTGGGCTTGTTTCTTGATCGAGTGGCCCCTGGATAGGGTTTGGAGTGAGTGCTGGGGTAATTTGATTGTTCACGCCTCTTCAAATGGTGTTACTTTCTCCGGACCTGTTGTTCGGTAAGTCCACGCCTAGTCATGGCGACCTATCTTTGTCCTGTTTTGCAAATTTGTCTCGCTCCTGTAGTTCTCTTAGCAGAGCTTGTCTTAGAGTATTGGTGTATGCTTCAGTGTTCATTGAACCCTTTGTCACCTTTTGTTACTCTTGTGCCATGACCCTTTTTGTGGGTTGGGTGCAGGAATGTGGCGGCCATGTTGATTGTTACGATACCGGTTTGGTTGGGAATGTTCGGTATAGTTCGTTTTACCACTAAGGTTATTGATTTGGTTGTTTCGTGGTAGGTACCTTTTGTCTGTCATCACTCACCGCTCTTATCCTTAATTCCGCACACCCTCTAACTGGAGTGAGTGCTCCTGCTCAATATTGAAAATCGAGACGTCAGGGCTCTTAGAGCGGCTCACTTTTGATGCCTCAAAAGCTTTGCTTGCAAGCTCTCTAAGTTCTGAGATTGGCAAACTTACGTCGGCTGTAGGGCCCAAGTAGTTAATGAAGGTGGAATACATGTTTGACAGAAACATTTGTTTGAATGGTAGTAGCTCTTGCATTCCTATTTCAGTGAGTAGGCCAAAGTAAGCTGAACGTAGCCTATGATAGTATGCTTGTGGGTGTTCGCTTCACGCTTGTTTGACAGTGTTAGCCAGCGTGCTGTTTGCCAGCTGTTTGCCAGTCACAGAACCAGTTAATTATATTGTTAAAGCTGTGGCAAGTTTTGTGTAGTCGTTTTGCACGGAATGTTGTTGTAGGCGGATGAACCTAGTAACGTTGCTTGATTCATTAACGTCTATAAACCAAATAAAATTGTTTTTGCAGCTTCCAACTACTCAAAACCCAACATTTTACATAAGTTTCAACAACCAATAATCATCAAAATGAGCAAGCTATCAGAGGGGGTGCCATCCATTCCCCCAATAATAAGTGAACCCTCACCCACAGAAAGATTGATCGCTGACCTCAGCTGCGATGCAAACCCAAACTATGCCGAAGGGTTGAGAATGTTAGATCACAATGCCATAAGCGAAAAAACTGCAGAAATTGCGACCGACGCCCTCCAAAATAGGCCAGCAGGCATAGGCCTTGTAAAGATTCTCTCCAGTTTAACCCTGAACTATGCCCACCAGCAGAGATGGACATTGGTTCAATACCGCTGTGCTCAGCAGAAGCACGAGCAAGAAACTGTTGAGATGAAGGGACAGGTGGAGAGAACCAGGAAGCTAATGACAAAAGCCGACAAAGACAAGATACTGCTTGCCGAGGAGCTGCATTTGAGAACGGAGCAATTAAAAGATCTGGCAAAAACTTATGACAACGAATGAGAACAAACTGTTGAACTACAGGAACAACTCCATTTAGCCAAGACTAAATATGACGAAGTCCACGCAAAACTAGATCAATTTGACAACCTACTTAAAACCAGGGACGAGCAACTTGATACCATGCAAGCAGTGTTGAATGACACCACTCAAAGCAATAAGGTTCTAGTCCAAAAGCTGCAAACCACAGATGATCAGTTAAAGAACATAATGTCAATGTTGGATGTTAAAACAGCGGATCTCATTGAAGTCACTGGTCAAATGAATGATGAGAGAACCCAGGTGAGGAAGGTTGAAACATTTAACTCTAACCAAGCAGAGGAAATCTCATCACTGAATCTCTCGCTACAGACTCAAAACCTCTACCTGCAAACCATGACATAAGTATGAGGCCGAAAGGAGCAAGTGCGACACTCACGTGTCTGAAATAAATACTCTAGGTGCCCAAGTGGACTTGGCGATGCAGCAGAATTCCACCCTTGGGTACCGTCTAGAGGAACTCCGAACCAGTCACGCGCTGCAGCATGACTACCCAGCCAAACAACCAAGCTCGCAACCGGAGCTTGGTACACAAAGGAGTGAAGACGACAGAAGGTTTCAGCCTTTACCTGTTTCAGGTGTCCATCAGTCTTTTCCTCTTGGCCATTTGGCACAGAGTAATATGGCGCCTCCTCGCCAACCAGACTAAGGATCAGTTTCTCCTCTTGGCCTTTCAGCCAATTCTTACCCTCAGGATGATGCAAAACCTCCCTGCGCACTAGGCACGGAACGCCTTGATAAGATCATCAAGACCTTCTGCACCTTTGACCCAACCTCAGGAAAGCCGAACCACACTGAGATGTTCCTATGCTGACCTTGAGGGCGCGTTGGATGGCTACCCGAACGCTACGGATACTGACCGGCGCGGAAACATAAAATAAATGTTTTTGCCATTGGTCTTACTCACGCTACTGAAGCGCGATAGACAGAGAGATAATACTTTGCATCGGCCAACAACTATATATTCTCAAATGTCTTTAATTGACTGGCCCATATGTCCTTGCTCAAGAAATTAATACTGACCGAGTCTACTCGCTCCTGAAACGCGAGAGACAGAAATAGTACCACGTTTGGCCCAACTTTGTCTATTTCTCTTGATACCCACATTGGCTGGCCCATATGTACTAGCTCGTAGCATTCAGTAAATCCCCTACACACTGACTTTTCGTCAGATATACAGTGAGGGAAAAAAGTATTTGATCCCCTGCTGATTTTGTACATTGGCCCACTGACAAAGAAATTATCAGTCTATAATTTTAATGGTAGGTTTATTTGAACAGTGAGAGACAGAATAACAACAAAAAAATCCAGAAAAACGCATGTCAAAAATGTTATAAATTGATTTGCAATTTAATGAGGGAAATAAGTATTTGACCCCCTCTCAATCAGAAAGATATCTGGCTCCCAGGTGTCTTTTATACAGGTAACGAGTTGAGATTAGGAGCACACTCTTAAAGGGAGTGCTTCTAATCTCAGTTTGTTACCTGTATAAAATACACCTGTCCACAGAAGCAATCAATCAATCAGATTCCAAACTCTCCACCATGGCCAAGACCAAAGAGCTCTCCAAGGATGTCAAGGACAAGATTGTAGACCTACACAAGGCTGGAATGGGCTACAAGACCATCGCCAAGCAGCTTGGTGAGAAGGTGAGAACAGTTGGTGCGATTATTCGCAAATGGAAGAAACACAAAATAACTGTCAATCTCCCTCAGCCTGGGGCTCCATGCAAGATCTCACCTCGTGGAGTTGCAATGATCATGAGAACGGTGAGGAATCAGCCCAGAACTACACGGGAGGATCTTGTTAATGATCTCAAGGCAGCTGGGACCATAGTCACCAAGAAAACTATTGGTAACGTGGATGGGTATTCCAGCATGACAATGACCCAAAACACACGGCCAAGGCAACAAAGGAGTGGCTCAAGAAGAGGCACATTAAGATCCTGGAGTGGCCTAGCCAGTGTCCAGACCTAAATCCCATAGAAAACCTGTGGAGGGAGCTGAAGGTTCGAGTTGCCAAACGTCAGCCTCGAAACCTTAATGACTTGGAGAAGATCTGCAAAGAGGAGTGGGACAAAATCCCTCCTGAGATGTGTGCAAACCTGGTGGCCAACTACAAGAAACATCAGAGCTCTGTGATTGCCAACAAGGGTTTTGCCACCAAGTACTAAGTCATGTTTTGCAGAGGGGTCAAATGCTTATTTCTCTCATTAAAATGCAAATCAATTCATAACATTTTTGACATGCGTTTTTCTGGATTGTTTTGTTGTTATTCTGTCTCTCACTGTTCAAATAAACTTACCATTAAAATTATAGACTGATCATGTCTTTGTCAGTGGGCAAACGTACAAAATCAGCAGGGGATCAAATACTTTTTTCCCTCACTACAACACCAGAGTCAATCTCACCCTACTAGTGTCTGGATGAAAAGGGACCACACACACGCCACTCTCAACAACAATCCTGCCTACAGCGCTATTGGTGTATAACGTATCTTTCTACACAATTCCTATAGACTGAATTCAACAGTAAGGCCTAGTTCTATCTTAGACTCCTCGCACGGGGGCTCCAATATGTCGTGACGTGACTTTCATTATTGTGATGACTATAATTTATTGAATAATTACCTACTATGTTTAATTGGGGCGGCAGGTAGCTTAGTGGTTAAGAGCGTTGTGCCAGTAACCGAAAGGTCGCTGGTTCTAATCCCCGAGCCCACTAGGTGAAAAATCTGTCGATGTGCCCTTGAGCAAGGCACTTAACCCTAATTGCTCCTGTAAGTCGCTCTGGATAAGAGCGTCTGCTAAATGACTAATTATTTATTTATTTTATTATTTAATTGTTACTAGATTAAATTAATCATGTAACAATTAACTCACTAGGAATTCGGTGCACCACAGGATAAGTTGTTTAACGAGTTACAGTTTCCCGAATTATCTCTAAAGATATCTAGATATCTCTTATCATTTAAGTCATTTATTGATCATTTACCTCACATCAGTCTCATTCTGAAAGTCGTACACTCTTTAAGTCTGCACGAACCCAGGTCTTACTGATCATTCCATACCACACAAAATTATTTAATTCTTTATTTACTAACTAATTAAAATGATAACACAAGATACAAACACATACACGTATAGGTTAGGGATTAGAACTTAATACAATGAAAACGGGTCCCTAGCGGACTAACACAATATGACACTTGTTACAAAAGATGGCGAGTTAAAGAGAGAGCGAGAGAGAGATAGAACACTTGGATACACATGGAACTACAATCAATGTTACGGCTGAGTAGGTTGAGTAGGTGTTCTAAGTACTGTATCCCGACCCTGAAAAGCAACATGAGGTGAAGACGACAAAGTTGCCTCCACCAACAATCAATGTTACGGCTGAGTAGGTGTTCTAAGTACTGTATCTAAGAAGGTGAATTTAAGTGGGACCATCATGTTACTCTCTTCAAACCATCGCCATGTGGACAATCAGAGCATCTAAAGCCATCTAAAACCAATCTCTTTCAGATTGGCTTTAGATGTAAGGCTCTGATTGTCCACAAGAGGTCACAATGTCCTTCTTCTTAGTTGTCTGTTTACTTTCACTCGTTCTGGAAGTGGTCTTCTGAGGACGGCTAATCAGCCTTGTCGATGATCCCCTGTGGGGTGATGAGAGCAGTGTAGTAGACGATGGTTTGAAGAGAGTAACAGGATGGTCCCACTTAAATTCACCTTCTTAGATACAGTACTTAGAACACATACTCAGCCGTAACATTGATTGTTAGTGGAGGCAACTTTGTCGTCTTCACCTCATGTTGCTTTTCAGGGTCTGGACCAATATGGACCTCGCTGCAGCTTGAAGTCCGTCTAGTCTTCTTTGTTAATTCTTAACTCAATATTTTATGCACTCTGGTAAATAGGGCGTTTACGTCATGCGGACACTCTTTCTGAGTATTCTGAACACTATGATTTCGTTAAAGAACCAAAATCATCTTCCTATCGTTATAAAAATATGATCTTCCTCCTGGATATTTCCTACACTTAATAATGGATGCAAACTTGAAATGCACAGTATGAAAGCTCCTCAAGTTGCAATGTTTTTGTTATAATGTTTTTACAAAAGTTTTAATGACATTAATTTTCCAAATTCCCCCTCTCATCACTCCCAATATTCGGATGTTGAAATATTATGTTCCAGTGTCCACTTTTGGTCGTTTAAAGTTTTGGGTGGCAATCTGTCCCTGTAACAGAGACATTCAGATCGCCAATACTATGGAACAACAAGGAGTTACTTGCTCCAAACCATTTGGCGCGAGGGGTCATAACCCCCCCCCCCCCCCCCCCCCCAACAATCTTTCCTTTGTTCTGCGAGAGAGAGAGATCTGTAGACTGTTGCTTCTCTGTATTCCGATCTTGGGCTTCTCACGTGAAACCATCACATGAGAGTCATGACACCCCGAACATAACACTTTGTATTCAGGACAAAAATTTAATTGCTCTGCCACATTTTTTGTAGTAGTACTTTAGTGCAGAGGTCTCCAACAGGTAAATCGCGAGCTACCAGTAGCTCACAGCGGCCCTATGAGTAGCTCGCCAAACAATTCTGAAAGTACATGCAATTTTCACGTGTTCCACTGCAAAATAACATAAACTAATTTCGCAAGTATCACAAGCTACCAGCTACTATCTAATCAACGCAACATTGACATTATCCCATCCTTGGTTAGCCACTTTTGTCTTAAAATGCCAAACCTAACACAATATCTGCTAATTAATTTCCAGCATTATTGCCCCTGTCTGTCTGTGTGGTGCGCGCGTTTGTCTCACTCCATGTGTAGCCAGTTGATGTGAAAACCGTCTTGTGGGTAAACAGAAATACTTTTCCCAAAATGTTCTCAATTAAATGTTAACTGCAAAGTAGGCTTACCTGGCAGAAGTATATCATGAGTAAGTATACCATTTGTATCTATTATTTGTTATTTGCTAACTTTGCCAGGATATGAGCAACAGCAGTACAGAACCCTCGCTAGACCTGCACATTTAAAGGGGAATTACACTCAAATCGAAATGTTAATTTTCTTCCAGACCCCCCCCCAAAAAAAATCTGATGTGTTTTAAGCATTGATATGGACTCAGAACATCCAAGTACGATGTTTCTCTATGAACAATTGTAATTTTGAGTGAAAAACAAAAATCTAAAACCAGGAAGAATAAAACGGAGAAAACATAATCTGGGAAAATATAAAACATAATTTGGGGGAAAAAAATGATTTTATAGGGGCCCCCCTTAGAGTTGTTGTTTGTTCACCATTATTTGACCAGGTATACTGACAGAAAACATAGTGCTCTGCTTTCTCTTGCACACTAAGGACCCGGGGAAGAGTTGCAGGGGAGAGGAGAAAAATGTGCCTTTTAAGAAATCTAGGAAAATATTTATAGCTAGCAATGTTAAATGTTTTAAAAGTAGCTCTCATGCTAGAAAAGGTTGGAGACCCCTGCTTTAGTGCCTTGTTGCAAACAGGATGCATGTTTTGGAATATTTAGATTCTGTACAGGCTTCCTTCTTTTCGCTCTGTCAATTAGGTTAGTATTGTGGAGTAACTACAATGTTGATCCATTCTCAGTTTTCTACTATCACAGCCATTAAACTCTGTAACTGTTTTAAAGTCACCATTTCCTAATGGTGAAATCCCTGAGCGGGTTCCTTACCCTCCAGCAACTGTGTCTGCTTCTCTGTGTGTGTATGTGTTAATGGGGTGTGTGCTTCCTCTTAATCTCTGTCAGGTTCCTTCATGATAGACATTAACTAGCTCTAATTAGAAAACGTCTTAATGATGCTCTTTCTTTCTTTCCTCATTCTCTCTCGCCATCATCCTCTCTCTCTCTCTCCCCCCCTCTCTTTCTGTCTCTCTCCCTGTGTGTGTCTCTCTCTTTCTCACACACACACAGCTCAGTCAGATGTTGGGGAATGACATCAAATATCAGGTGCGAGAGCCTGTTGGACTGAGGGTCTGGATCCTCATCTCTGCAGTAGCCTTCACAGTCATGGCCTTGATGGTGAGTTGATACAGTCTGAATGACACACAGTCACAACACACACATACAGGTAACTACCGAAATTAAAAAAACAGCAACATAAAGTGTCTTAATAGGGCATTGGGCAACTACGAGCAGCCAGAACAGCATCAATGCACCTTGGCATAGATTATACAAGTGTCTGGAACTCTATTGGAGGGATGCAACACCATTATTCCACAATAAATTCCATCATTTGGTGATTGATGGTGGTGGTGGAAATAGGGCTGTGTGGTGGTCATAAAATTTTGTCAGCCGGTAACTGTCATGCAAATACTGCCGGTCTCACGGTTATTGACCATTAATTAACATAAACACATAAAGCCACTGATGCTGACCTTTGGAACATCGACATTTTAAAAAGTCTAAACCCATTTAATATAGCCTAAACCAGGGGTAGGCAAACCTGTTCCTGGAGTGCCGCAGGTACTGCAAGATTTTGTTCCAACTAGGCACCACACCTGACCAACTGAGCTAATTGATCAATTCAGTGATTGCCTAAATTCAACACACCTGGTCTTTCAGGTCGGTTAAATCAAAAACATGAACTGGCTGCGCCACTCCAGGACCAGGGTTGCCTACACCATCAAAATAAATCCATTATTTATTTTACGCAGGTCTAAAGAAAAATGATGATATGAAGAAAATGTTGCCTATTTCAGAACAACAGATTAGCATATGGCTGTAGGCTATACTAGTTCATTTAGCAAACAATATTTGCTTATAATTCCTGTGGCATTATTTTATAGTAAGAAGAATAGAATTGAACATAGCTGAATAAAATGGAAAGGATATTTTCCCCAAACGATTTCCGAGGGAGTGTGCACTATTGTTAACAAAGTTAACAAAGCAGTTAACAAAGTGATAATTTGAAACAGGTCCTCCTATATGCTTAATTTAGAGTTATTTATGCTACTTTAGTTGTAATAAAAACCTTATGTTATATGTTTTGATTTCTAATACGTTCTAAGGCTGCATGATGTGACTAACGATGATTTGAAAAAAGTTGCATGAAAGGCATGCACTCAGCTCAGTTTCTTGCGCAGGATGCACACACTTCATCAGTCTCATATTCACAATTTTACAAGCACTTGATAATATTCTCACCCATCAGACTATTCTCAATTTAACCTGGTCTTTACATATAGCCAACTAATATATATGTTGAATTTTTATTTATTTAGAATGGCCAAAAAATGTCACACACTTTTAATATGCCAGGTAGGCTATACCAGTTGTAAAGCAGATTAATGTGCTTAATTTAAAGAATTCAGCAATTAATATAGCAGCACGAGAAAGCTGGAATCCTCTTTTAAATACTGTCCAGTCAAAACTCGATTGCACAATGACTGGGTTTATAAGAACCCATACGTTTCACTAGGCTCTGTAGGCTATGGGCTCTCCAACCCTGTTCCAGGGGTCATAGGCCTATAGGCTACTCTTAGATTTATTTGGCCACTTTAGTTGTAATACAAACCTTATCAAAACATATAGGCCAATGGGCTAGGGTACATGATGCATGCGTCTATTCATTTAATCTCGTCTTTACATATACTAAGTAATATATGTGAAATTAGTTTTGATTTAGAATGGGCCATTATCATAGCGATTGGAGGAAGCTTTTCCCGCAGTTAATTTTCATGCCAGCCAGGCTACTTCGGTTGTAAAGCGAAGCAATGTGCTTAATGTTAGGAAGGTTGAGAAATAAATATTGTAGGCCTAGCCCATAGAAAGCTGATGGGATCCTCGTCTTTTTAAGAGGCCATTAAAACTCATAGCCTATAGAAATGTTGCGCAACATGGGCTCATAGGAACACTTATTTCATTCCATGCATCAACCAGCTATGAGGAGCTGGCTTTCGCTGCTCAAAAGGTTATCCTATTCTGCTCAAACTCCAAATGCCAGGACTCTCATTAAGTGTTTGAATTGATTTTCGATTGCATTTGCATTGATTTAGAGGGACAATAGAGCGCTGAGTACCAGGCCATTAGCGACTGGCCATTAACACGTTTGGTAGGCTACTAATGACCATCAGCGACATCAGAGCACAGTTTTGGAGAAGCCTAGTTACTGTGACTCAACAGTCACATGGAATTTGACTGCGGTCATGACTCGTGACTGCCGGTGTGGCAGTAATACGGTCACCGTAACAGCCGTAGGTAGAAAGCACTGTCTCAGGTGTCGCCCAGAATCTCCCATAAGTGTTCGATTGGGTTGAGATCTGGTGAATGAGACACACACAAACACACTCCCTTTAAACCCCCTATGCTCCTTTGAGACCCGTTTTTTCAAAGTCATTGAGATCTCTTCTTCTAGCCACAGTAGCCAAAATAATGGGCAACTGGGTATCTTTATACCCTAAGCATGATGGGATGTTAATTGCTTAATTAACTCGAGAACCACACCGGGTGTGGAAGCACCTGCTTTCAATATACTTTATATCCCTCATTTACTCAAGTGTTTCCTTTATTTTGGCAGTTACCTGTAGTAAAACACGATCCAGACCTCTGTGACCACTACTCACCTGAAGTGTTTCTATTCTCTGGTATGACAGTAGGGTTATCTTTCACCGTTTAGAACTTTCAAGAGTGGTTTAGAACTGTACAGTACCAAAATATTTCACTAGGAGTTCAGGAAGCAGTTTGTCCACTCTTTCTGTCTCCCCTCTCTTTAGTGAACAGAGTCTCATACAGTTAGTCTTCACTACACTATCTCTATGGGACATCTGGGAGGAACAGCTCAGCCTTTGTCTGCCCCCTAACTTTACTGTGTAGCTGAATGTCCTTAGACCCTGTTACTATGTCTGTGAATGGCCTTACTGTGAGGGTACAGGAAGCCACATTGTTTAATAGTAAATTAAGTTATCCTCTGTCTAATGCTCTATTTGAGGATCAACTGCCTGGTGATTTTGTCACAAACAGACCTAGCTTTCTTGGAGCAGTAGTTACAACCGCTGCCCGTGGTTGATTGAGCTACGCTCCGGGACCTCAAACTATCCCCCGACGTATTGCTACAATGGTGCATGTTGTGCAGAGATGGCAGGGTGCTATTGTGTAAGTTGTCCAAGTGGTTCAATATTGCTGTATTTGGGGAGGAACTGCCTGGTGACTGTAACAAAGCCCCCCCCAAGTCCCCAAATTGCTTCAATTGTGCATGTTGTGATTAAGATGATGAGTGTGCTGTGTTGTGTTCCCTGTGCAGGCCCTGGTGTTGCCCAACCAGCTGTATGAGGTGGTGTTTGAAGAGGAGATCAACAACACCAGTGTCTCCATTCGACTCTATGGGGGAGCACTGCTCAGTGAGTACACGTACATACATACACACGCACGTACATACATATGCATACACACACACTCACCTCCTTTCTTGTGATGTTCATATACGTATGGTACATATACATACGTTCTTACACATTCACACACCAACATAAACACCCGCTTCCTATTCTTCCCACTATATTAATGTCATATCTCTCCCTCTCACATGTCCTTGTATTTGTATGCTTCAAGCTCCTATATCTATGCCTTCATGTGCATCTCTGTCCCTGTCAACAAATACATTACTAGTGCATGACTATTGCAATTTGTGTCATCATAGAGTGCATGTTATCACAGAAACGCAGGGGAAAACATATCTCAGCCAGCTATACATGCATGAACAAGGTGCAGTTGTGGCCAAATATATTGGCACCTTTGCACTTTTCTTAGATGGTTCCCTATTTCTTCTAAAACTTAAGTTGACAAATGGCATGGACAAAATTATTGCCACCCCAGAGCTAGTACTTCGTTGCACAGCCTTTGGCCAAGATAACTGCAGACAAACTCTTCTTGTAGCCATCAATGAGCTTCCTGCAACATTCTACTGGTAATTTTTACAAATTTCCAGCAGCAAACTGAGGGGTACCCTCCAACTGCTGTTTTCAGCTCTCACTATAGGTTTTGGATGTGATTCAGATCTGGACTCTTCACTGGCAACTCCAGAACAGTCCAGCATCTCTTATTGAACTATTCCTGGGTGCTTTTTGATGTATGTTTGGAGTTGTTGTCTTGCTGGAAGACACACAACCTTCAATGAAGACCTTGTTGGTTTGAATACCCAAGCCGACAAGGTGAAAAATCAATATGTGCCCTTGAGCAAGGCACTTAACCCTAATTTGCTCCAGTGACGCCATACTACTATGGCTAACCCTGTAAAACAACACATTTCACTATCCAGTGTATGTGACAATACAACATATATACAGTACCAGTCAAAAGTTTGGACACAACTACTCATTCCAGGGTTTTTCTTTAGTTTTACTATTTTCTACATTGTACAATAATAGTGCAGACATCAAAACTATGAAATAACTAATATGGAATCATGTTGTAACCAAAAAAGTATTAAACAGTGTCAAATAGCCACCCTTTGCCTTGATGACAGCTTTGCACACTCTTGGCATTCTCTCAACCAACATAATGAGGTAGTCACCTGGAATGCATTTCAATTAACAGGTGGGCCTTCGTAAGTTAATTTGTGGAATTTCTTTCTTTCTAAATGCGTTTGAGCCAATCAGTTGTGTTGTGACAAGGTAGGGGTGGTATACAGAAGATAGCCCTATTTGATAAAAGATCAAGGCCATATTATGGCAAGAACATCTCAAATAAGCAAAGAGAAACAACAATCCATCATTACTTTAAGACATGAAGGTCAGTCAATCCGGAAAATTTCAAGAACTTTAACAATTTCTTCAAGAGCAGTCGCAAAAACCATCAAGTGCTATGATGAAACTGGCTCTCATGAGGACCGCCACAGCAATGGAATACCCAGAGTTACCTCTGCTGCAGAGGATAAGTTCATTAGAGTTAACTGCACCTCAGATTGCAGCCCAAATAAATGCTTCACAGTGTTCAAGTAACAGATACATTTCAACATCAACTGTTCAGAGACTGTGTGAATCAGGCCTCCATGGTCAAATTGCTGCAAAGAAACCACTACTAAAGGACACCAATAAGAAGAAGAGACCTGCTTGGGCAAAGAAACACGAGCAGTGGACATTAGACCAGTGGAAATCTGTCCTTTGGTCTGGAGTCCAAATTGGAGATTTTGGGTTCCAACCGCTGTGTCTTTGTGATACGCAGAGTAGGTGAACGGATGATCTCTGCATTTGTATTTCCCACCCTAAAGCATGCAGGAGGAGGTGTTATGGTGTGGGGGTGCTTTGCTGGTGACACTGTCTGTGATTTATTTAGAATTGAAGGCACACTTAACCAGCATGGCTACCACAGCATTCTGCAGCGATACGCCATCCCATATGGTTTGGGCTTAGTGGGACTATCATTTGTTTTTCAACAGGACAATGACCCAACACACCTCCAGGCTGTGTAAGGGCTATTTGACCAAGAAGGAGAGTGATGGAGTGCTGCATCAGATGACTGCTTCAAGACTGTTGGAAAAGCATTCCAGGTGAAGCTGGTTGAGAGAATGCCAAGAGTGTGCAAAGCTTTCATCAAGGCAAAGGGAGGCTATTTGAAGATTCTCAAATCTAAAATATACTTTGATTTGTTTAACACTTTTTTGTTTACTACATGATTCCGTATGTGTTATTTCATAGTGTTGATGTCTTCACTATTATTCTACAATGTAAAAAATAGTACAAATAAAGAAAAACCCTTGAATGAGTAGGTGTGTCCAGACTTTTGACTGGTAGTGTACACTGAATGTACAAAACATTAAGAACACATTCCTAATATTGTTTTGCACCCCCGTTTTTGCCCTCAGAACTGCCTCAATTTGTCAGGAAATGGACTCTACAAGGTGTCGAAAGCGTTCCACAGGAATGCTGGCCCATGTTGACTCCAATGCTCCAATGTTGACTGCAAGTTGGCTGGATGTCCTTTGGGGGGTGGACCATTCTTGATACACACAGGAAACTGTTGAGCGTGAAAAACCCAGCAGTGTTGCAGTTCTTGGTAGAGCTTGGCGCTTGTAACGCCAAGGTAGTGGGTTCGATCCCCGGGACCACCCATACGTAAAAATGTATGCACGCATGACTGTAAGTCGCTTTGGATAAAAGCGTCTGCTAAATGGCATATTATTATATATTATATTATTGACACAAACCGATGCGCTTGGCACTTACTACAATGCGCCGTTTGAAGGCACTTAAGTCTTTTGTCTTTCCCATTCACCCTCTGAATGGCACACATAAATAATCCATGTCTCAATTGTCTCAAGGCTTAAAAATCCTTCTTTAACTTGTATCCTCCCCTTCATCTACACTGATTTGAAGTGAATTTAATAAGTGACATCAATAAAGGATCATAGCTTTCATCTGGATTCACCTGATCAGTCTGTCATGGAGAGAGCAGGTGTTCATAATGTTTTGTACACTCAGTGTATATATACAGCTCTGGAAAAAATTGAGACCACTGCAAAATTAGCATTTTCTCTGGTTTTACTATTTATAGGTATGTGTTTGGGTAAAAATTAATGTTTTAGTCCAATCCTTATGGTCTTTTGCAAACCTCAGTCTGGCTCTTCTTTGCTTCTCATTGATGAAGGGCTTTTTTCTAACTTTGCACGACTTCAGCGCTGCCCCTAGGTGCCTGTTTCGACCGTCCTCGCCGTGCACTTCACCCCAGCTGCCGTTTGCCATACTTTTTGTAGGTCACTTGATCCTACGGTTGATGAGTGACATTCAAATGAGTTGGCGGTCATCCCGGTCAGTAGAGTCGTTTTCACCCTCTGCCCGTCTGTAGCTTTGTTGTCCCCAATGTCTGCTGCTTGAACTTGTTCTTATGAACCATGGAAACAACCTGACGCTCACTGTATCCCTCTGCCAGTAAAGCCAAAATTGAACCCTTTTTCCCCCACTCAAAACGTTCCTTTTCAACTCTTTTGGCATTGTCAATAGTTATTTTTTGATTAATATTACTTTTGAGGTACTATTAGCACTGTTTTTGCCATCCAGCTGGTCCTATTGCAAGAGGATATTGATGACCACAGCAGTGGTTTTTATACTTTTCCTCGTTAAATAAGATTTGGTTCAGGTGATCACCTAATCAGTACCTAATTCAGTAGAATGAGGTGTGCCTGTGTTGGAATTCAACAGACACTGGAATGGAATGGCTGTCATACATGTAGAGATGCTGATTTAAGAAAAATGTGCAGTGGTCTCTTAGATTTTTCCAGAGCTGTATATACAGTGCATTCGGAAAGTATTCAGACCCTTTCCCTTTTTACACATTTTGTTACGTTACAGCCTTGTTCAAAATGGGTTGAATACATAAAAAATCTCATCAATCTACACACAATACCCCATAATGACAAAGCAAAAACAGGTTTGTAGAAATTTTTGTAAATGTATTAAAATTAAAAACAGAAATACCTTATTTACATAAGTATTCAGACCCTTTGAAATGAGACTCGAAATTGAGCACAGGGGAATCCTGTTCCAATTGATCTTCCTTGATGTTTCTACAACTTGATTGGAGTCCAGTTGTGGTAAATTCAATTGATTGGACATTATTTGGATTGGCACACACCTGTCTATATAAGGTCCCACAGTTGACAGTGCATGTCAGAGACAAAAACCAAGCCATGAGGTAGAAGGAATTGTCCGTAGAGCTCCAAGACAGGATTGTGTCAAGGCACAGATCTGGGGAAGGGTACCAAAAAATGTCTGCAGCATTGAAGGTCCCCAACAACACCGTGGCCTCCATCATTCTTAAATGATATACTCTTCCTAGAGCTGGCCGCCTGGCCTACCTGAACAGTCGGGGGAGAAGGGCCTTGGTCAGGGAGGTGACCAAGAACCCGATGGTCACTCTGACAGTGCTCCTGAGTTCCTCTGTGGAGGTGTGAGAACCTTCCAGAAGGACAATTATCTCTGCAGCACTCCAGCAATCAGGCCTTTATGTTAGTGGCCAGACGGAAGCCACTTCTCAGTAAAAGGCACATGACAGCCTGCTTGGAGTTTGCCAAAAGGCACCTAAAGGACTCTCAGACCATGAGAAACAAGCTTCTCTAGTCTGATGAAACCAAGATTGAACTATTTGGCTTGAATGCCAAGCGTCATGTCTGGAGGAAACCTGGCACCATCCCTACGGTGAAGCATGGTGGTGGCAGCATCATGCTGTTTGTATATTCTTCAGCGGCAGGGACTGGGAGACTAGTCAAGATCAAGGGAAAGATTAACAGAGCAAATTACAGGGAGATCCTTGATGAAAACCTGCTCCAGAGCGCTCAGGACCTCAGACTGGGGGCGAAGGTTCACCTTCCAACAGGACAATGACCCTAAGCACACAGCCAAGACAACGCAGGAGTGGCTTCGACAGAAGTGTCTGAATGTACTTGAGTGGCCCAGCCAGAACACAGACTTCACCCTGATCGAACATCTCTGGAGAGACCTGAAAATAGCTGTGCCGCAACGCTCCCCATCCAACCTGACAGAGCTTGAGACGATATGCAGAGAAGAATGGGAGAAACTCCCAAAATGCAGGTGTGCCAAGCTTGTAGCGTCATTCCCAAGAAGTCTCGAGGCTGTAATCGCTGCCAAAGGTGCTTCAACAAAGTACTGAGGAAAGGGTCTGAATACATATGTAAATATGATATTACAGATTTTTTATGTTTGATTTTTTTTTTTGCTACATGATTCCACGTGTTATTTCATAGTTTTGATGTCTTCACTATTATTAATGTACTGCACTGACACAAATGTCTGAAGATTGGTTGAAAGAAATTGATAATAATATGATTCTGGGAGCTGTACTGTTAGATTTCAGTGCAGCCTTTGACATTATTGACCATAACCTGTTGTTGAGAAAACAAATGTATTATGGCTTTTCAACCTCAGCTCTGAATCTATGATATGGCATTCTATCGAATAGAACTCAAAGGGTTTTCTTTAATGGAAGCTTCTCTAATGTCAAACATATAAAGTGTGGTGTACCGCAGGGCAGCTCTCTAGGCCCTGTACTCTTTTCTATTTTTACCAATGACCTGCCACTAGAATTAAACAAAGCATGTGTATCCATGTATGCTGATGATTCAACCATATAAGCAACCACAGCTAATGAAGTCACTGAAACCCTTAGCAAATAGTTGCAGTCTGTTTTGGAATGGGTGGCCAGTAATAAACTGGTCCTGAACATCTCAAAAACTAAGAGCATTGTATTTGGTACAAATCATTCCTTAAGTTCTAGACCTCAGCTGAATCTGGTAATGAATGGTGTGGCTGTTGAAATAATTGAGGAGACTAAATTACTTGGTGTTTCCTTAGATTGTAAACTGCCATGGTCAAAACATATATATTAAATGGTTGTAAAGATGGGGAGAGGTCTGTCCGTAATAAAGAGATCCCCTGCTTTTATGACACCACACTCCAAAAAGCAAGTCCAGCAGGCTCTAGTTTTGTCTTATCTTGATTATTGTCCAGTCGTGTGGTCAAGGAAATACCTAGTTAAGCTGCAGCTGGCCCAGAACAGAATGGCACATCTTGCTCTTCATTGTAGTCAGAGGGCTAATATAAATACTATGCAAGCCAGTCTCTCTTGGCTAAGAGTTGAGGAGAGACTTACTGCATTACTTCTTCTTTTTATAAGAAACATGAATGTGTTGAAAATTCCAAATTGTTTGCATAGTCAACTTACACACAGCTCTGACACACACACACTTACGCCTCCAGGGGTCTTTTCACAGTCCCTAAATCCAGAACAAATTCAAGAAAGCATACAGTATTATATAGAGCCATTATTGCATGGAACTCCCTTCCATCTCATATTGCTCAAATGAACAGCACAACGCCTCTCCCCTATTTGACCTAGGTAGTTTGTGTATGTATTGATATGTAGGCTACGTGTACCATTTTTAAATTGATGTTGTTCTGTCCTTGAGCTGTTCTTGTCTATTAATGTTCTGTATTATGGCATGTTTCATGTTTTGTGTGGACGCCAGGAAGAGCAGCTGCTGCTTTCGCAACAGCTAATTGGGATCATAATAAAATAGCAATTACCACTCCTCTCCAATGGATGTGCGAAGTTGCTGGATGTTGATGGGAACTGGCACATGCTGTCGTGACGTTGATCTAGAGCATCCCAAACATGCTCAATGGGTGACATGTCTGGTGTGTATGCAAGCCATGGCAGAACTGGGACATTTTCAGCTTCCAGGAACTGCCAAATTCTCTACAATGAAGTTGGAGGTGGCTTATTGTTGAGAAATTAACATTCAATTATCTGGCAACAGCTCTAGTGGACATTCTTAAAGTCAGCATGACAATTGCACAATCTCTCAAAACTTGAAACATCTGTGGCATTGTGTTGTGTGACAAAACTGCACATTTTAGTGTCCCCAGCACAAGGTGCACTTGTGTAATGATCATGCTGTTTTATCAGCTTCTTGATATGTCACACCTGTCAGGTGGATGGATTGTCTTGGCAAGGGAGAAATGCTCAGTAACAGGGATGTAAACAAATTTGTGCACAACATTTTAGAGAAATAAGCTTCTTGTGCGTATGGCAAATTGTAGGGATCTCTTATTTCAGCTCATGAAACATGGGGCCAACACTTTACATGTTGCATTTATATTTTTGTTCAGTGTACATGGTCCAGCACGTTGTTTCCTCTCGTGGAGCAGGATACATGTTGGTGAAATGTTGGAAAAATGTGTTTTAAACATGCTTGGTTTAAAATCACCCACGACAATATAGACTGCTTCCGGATGACTCGCTGGCTAATGTTCTTGTGCAGTTCCCTGAGTGCCGCCTTGGTGTTTGCTTGTGGCAGTATGTACACAGCTGTGATAATAACACCCATGAATTCCCTCGGCATATAGTGGGGTCAGCATTTTAGCATCAGAAACTCGAGATGTTTTCAACTTCGGTATACCAGGAATTGTTGATGAGGAAGCATACACCTCCCCCTAGTCTTACCAAAAGCCACCGTTCGATCCATACGGAAAATGGAAGAGCCGTATGGTTGAATAGCAGAGTCTAGGGCTGTTACAGCGATGGCCTCTATTAAAATGAGGAGGATCCCATCAGCTTTCTATAGGCTAGGCCTATTATTTATTTCTCAACTTTCCTAATATTAAGCACATTGCTTCTCTTTACAACAGGAGTATAACCTACCTGGCTGGCATGAAAATGAACCACGGGAAAAGCATCCTCCATTCGCTATTTAAGTGCATAGATTACATTTATTTTTTCCCCTGCCCCTGTTTTGAGACAGGTGCATGATAATGGTCCATTGTAAATCAAAACAATTTTCACATATTATTTAGTATATGTAAAGACAATATTAAATCAAGAATAGTCTGATGGGTGACAATATTAGCCTATTACTTGTGAATGATATATTATAATTTGTGAATGATGCCCAGCGTGTGCAGTAAGGCAAGAAACAACGCATGCCTTTTTTTTGCTACTTTTTCAAATCATAGTCGCACACCTCATGTAGCCTAGCCCATAGGCCTATATGTTTTGATAAGGTTTGTATCACAACTAAAGCGGCCAAATAGCTAATTAAAATTAAGCACATTCATCTGCTTTACAATGGCTGTACAGCCTAACTGGCATACATTTGCAGCGAGTGAGTTTCAAGTTTGGTGAAGATCATTTTCACCATACAAATGCACCTTTATAATAAAAGCATTACATGCATAATCGCAATTGTGGTCACTTTTGAGAATGGTGTTTTCCTGCTAATTGATTGCATTTTGGAACATTTGCGCTTATAGCCTACTGCCGTGTGCGCATTGCTACTCTTATAATGTGAAGAAATAGCCTAATAGTTTATCAACATTTTAAGCTGAACTTTCTGATCTGTTGCGTAAGCCTCATTGCTTAAAAAATGTTTTGGGATGCTAATGGTTGTATTAATTTAGGATCTATCGCATCCCGCAACTGTCCCAGACTATATTTGGAATAGGTAAACTTTTGTATTATGGGGGATAGTAGATTGGCATAGGCATAGTGCTTTTGCTGTTCATTAGGCCTACTCATCTTGTTGGTTGATAAAAAGTAAATGTGGACAGTTCTTCCAATATCTTCAATATGCACCTCGGAATTGGATAAAGACGCGCGTAGTTGTGTCTGTCTTCACTTGTAGCCTGTGAGAAAGACCCAATCACGTGACAGGCATTGGCTAATAAGAATTGAGCAATCTGAGAGAGCCATGTGAGTGAGAGGTCCTTCGGAGCATGCTGCCGGGTGAAGGGAATTATAATTATTATTTTCAGCCCATGGGCACAACGGCAACTGGCTGCAAAAGGTATGGATTTTTTTTCGGGTGAATGAGAGACTGATGAAGTGTGTGCAGCCTGAGCAAAAAAACAAAGCAGAGTGCAACGTTTGTATCACAACTAAAGTTGCATAAAGAACTCTAAATTAAGCATATAAGAGGACATGTATCTTTGTTAACCGCTCAACACAGAATATCTCAACACAGAATGTGCGCACTCCCTCAAATCGTTTGGAGAAAATAGCCTTTCTATTTTATTCAGCTATGTTCAATTGTATTCTTCATTATGTAAAATAATGCCACAGAATTCTAAGCAAATCTTGTCTGCTAAATGTACTAGTGTAGCCCACAGCCATATGGCATAGCCAGATCAGGGCCTAACATAAGGACAACTCAGAATATGCTATTCTGTTCTTCTAAAATAGACTACATTTTCTTCATATCATGTTTCTTTAGACCTGTTTAAAATAAATCATGGATTTATTTTGATGGTGTATGCTATATTGCATGGATTTATTAGACACCGGCAGATATTTGCTTGACAATCACCAGCTGACAAAATGTCATGACCGCCACAGCCCTAGCAGAGTCAAGTGTATCGTCCGTAAGCCATGTGTCTGTAATAAGAGACTCTGCATTCCCTGATGTCACATTGAAGCTTTGCTCTGAGTTTACAAAGTTTATTTTCCAGCGATTGGACATTCGCCATCAAAATACTAGGAAGAGGAGGCCGTGTAGCCCATTTTTTTCAGCCTAGCTTTTATTCCCCCTTTCCTTCCTCTTCTTCGTCGCCGACGTTGCCATCAGTCATCTTGGTCAGCAGAAACAGGGAAGCCCACTGTGCAGGGTACAAAGAAGTGAATGTAGTATTCCAGATCTGGGAGGCTGAGAGATACACTATATATACAAAAGTATGTGGACACCCGTTCAAATGAGTGGATTCGGCTATTTCAGCCACACCCGTTGCTGACAGGTGTATAAAAGCGAGCACACAGTCATGCAATCTCCATAGACCAACATTGGCAGTAGAATGGCCTTACTGATGAGCTCAGTGATTTTCAACGTGGCACCGTCATAGGATGCCAACTTTCCAACAAGTCTTACACAGGAAGCGGCACAGGTCCTAATCCAGGCACTTGTCATCTCCCGTCTGGATTACTGCAACTCGCTGTTGGCTGGCCTCCCTGCATGTGCCATTAAACCCCTACAACTCATCCAGAATGCCGCAGCCCGTCTGGTGTTCAACCTTCCCAAGTTCTCTCACGTCACCCCCCTCCTCCGCACACTCCACTGGCTTCCAGTTGAAGCTCGCATCCGTTACAAGACCATGGTGCTTGCCTTTGGAGCAGCGAGGGGAACGGCACCTCTGTACCTTCGGGCTCTGATCAGTCCCTACACCCAAACGAGGGCATTGCGTTCATCCACCTCTGGCCTGCTGGCTCCCCTTCCTCTGCGGAAGCATAGTTCCCGCTCAGCCCAGTCAAAACTGTTCGCTGCTCTGGCACCCCAATGGTGGAACAAGCTCCCTCACGACGCCAGGACAGCGGAGTCACTCACCACCTTCCGGAGACATTTGAAACCCCACCTCTTTAAGGAATACCTGGGATAGGATAAAGCAATCCTTCTACCCCCCCCCCACACACACAGCGGAGTCGCTCACCACCTTCCGGAGACATTTGAAACCCCACCTCTTTAAGGAATACCTGGGATAGGATAAAGTAATCCTTCTACCCCCCCCCCCCCCCCCCCCCCACCCCACAGCGGAGTCACTCACCACCTTCCGGAGACATTTGAAACCCCACCTCTTTAAGGAATACCTGGGATAGGATAAAGTAATCCTGCTAAATGACGTAAATGTGCCCTTGAGCAAGGCACTTAACCCTAATTGCTCCTGTAAGTCGCTCTGGATAAGAGCGTCTGCTAAATGACTAAAATGTAAATGTAAATGTAAGTCAGTTCATCAAATTTCTGCCCTGCTAGAGCTGCCCTGGTCAACTGTAAGTGCTGTTATTGTGAAGTGGAAACTGCTAGGAGCAACAACGGCTCAGCTGCAAAGTGATAGGCCAACCAAGCTCACAGAACGGGACCACTGAGTGCTGAAGCGTGTGGTGTGTAAAAATCGTCTGTCCTTGGTTGCAACACTCACTGCCTCTGGAAGCAACGTCAGCACAAGAACTGTTCGTCGGGAGCTTCATGAAATGGGTTTCCATAGCCGAGCAGCCGAACACAAGCCTAAGATCACCATGTGCAATGCCAAGCGTCGGCTGGAGTGGTGTAAAGCTCGCCGCCATTGGACTCTGGAGCAGTGGAAACGCGTTCTCTGGAGTGATGAATCACGCTACACTATCTGGCAGTCCGACAGACGAATCTGGGTTTGGCGGATGCCAGGATAATGCTACCTGCCCCAATGCATAGTGCCAACTGTAATGGTCTGGGGCTGTTTTCAGGGAAATCTTAATGCTACCGCATACAATTACATTCTAGACGATTCTGTGCTTCTAACTTTGTGGCAACAGTTGGGGAAGGCCCTTTCTTGTTTCAGCATGCCAATGCCACCGTGCACAAACTGAGGTCCATACAGAAATGGTTTGTCGAGATTGGTGTGGAAGAACTTGACTGGCCTGCACAGAGCCCTGACCTCAACCCCATCGAACACCTTTGGGATGAATTGGAATGCCGACTGCGAGCCAGGCCTAATCGCCCAACATCAGTACCCAACCTCACTAATGCTCTTGTGGCTGAATGGAAGCAAGTCCCCGCAGCAATGTTCCAAAATCTAGTGGAAAACCTTCCCAGAAGAGTGGAGGCTGTTATAGCAGCAAAGGGGGGCCCAACTCCATATTAATGCCCGTGATTTGTTAATGCCCGTGATGTTCGACGAGCAGGTGTCCACATACTTTTGGTTATGTAGTGTGTGTAGCTTCCAATTCATGATCCAGAAGTGTTTGTCAGTCGTAGGAAATTATTATTATTGCACGGACTTTCTGAGCAAACAAAGTAATTATTGCTAACCTAAGTCGAGCAGGAACCGGCAAGACGCTCGCCCTCCTCAGAGCCGCCATCTTGGAGATAAGGTCAGTATAAATAGTGCATATGTCAAGACTTCAGTCATTCTCTTCCTCTCTCTATTTTAGTAAGGTATAAACACATCGTCCTGCTGCGTCATCCATTATTTCCAAGGTAATGTACGGAACCGGCTTATACCACAGTTGCCAAAGAAAACAATATGAAAGCACACATTTACTGGAAAAAATCACTTTTTATTTTGTTGATATTTTCATTTATATAAGATAATTCATACTTTCTGATCTTTTGGTTGCTAGAGATGCGATCCAGTCGTTCATTCGATTAGTCTTTATGTTCCGTTCTTATCCCTTGCTTGCTAGCTAGCTAGCCAGCTAGCTACGGCTAACACAGTCATGACATTTGCATCCAGAATAACAGCAAAGTTGCTGTTTTCTATTGACATTTATTAGGATACATCCATAACAATGAGCTGATGATGCCAGATTCTGCCTGGCATAGCTAGAAAAGTTTGCCTTATCGTCAGGGCACTCGACAATGTTCATTACGAGGAGATCGCATTGCATATCAAACACTAGGCTAGAAGCTAGCTAAATAGTTTGTTGCTAGCAAACCTGGCAATATGACAAGCAAATTAAAAAATATCAGTTGCTGAAAACAGCTGGTCAAACTAGAAACGTGGGAGTATTTGACAGCATAGCGCCACTTGCGTCATGATTGCAACAGTAGGGACCAGAGAAATTCATGTTCTTCACTCACCACGTTAGGTAATGCACCAAAAAAATATGTCTCTGAAAAAACAAATCAATGCTAGTTAACTAGCTACATTTTTTCCTTGTTGGACCTGCATTTACAATGTACCCAATTTCGGTTTTTGTGGTTGTTGGTTTAGTGTTCTGTAACTTTGTATCAAGTACAGTCTGCATGTGTAGGCGCTTATTGCGTCATGATTGCAAGGTGTCCGGATATCTTTTCCAACTGTCCTGATAAATTATATATTTTCTAACGGTCCCGTTATCTGGTTTTAATGTCCATTCTAGAATGCCCTTCTAACCAATCAGAAACGAGTATTCAACAATGCTGTGGTATAAATATATTTATCTTATAGCCACAGTTAAATAAATATTCTGTTTCCAACGAGGCAAAATAGCTAAGAGCCTGCCTGCCGGTTTGAGGTCTTGGATGATTTCGGGAGCAGTACAATACAATAGAAGGCTACGATAGGGCATATGTCAGTCAGACCTCTCATTCTTTCCTTCCTCTCTCTATTTAAATATGTGTACAGACACAGTTAAATAAATATTGTGTTGCCAAAAGGAGAGATAAGGTGGTCAGAGTAGCAGAGTATAGGCTTCAGTAAACGGCAGAATATAAATTCTGACATCTCCCAAGATCTCAGTCATGCCGACAGTCACCCAGAGATAGGCAGGCAGGCGCTCCATTATTGTGAATGTCAGTGGCATTGTGTGGATTGAGGAGGATGGGGTGATGAGGAGAGGAAGAGCAGAGGGAGAAGGTGATGGCGAGGGCAGGAAGAGGGAGAGATTAAGGAGGAGGATAGGGTGATTTTACATCACCAGGGAGCGGGGGGGGGGGGAGAAGATGGGGAGAAAATATTAAGAGGGAGAGAAAAGGAAGAGGGAATGAGAGAAGAACGGAATATATTACGCAGGAGGTTAGGGTGATTTTACACACCATGGAAGAGAGGGAGGGAAAGAGTGGGAGGGGAGGAGAGGGAGACGGAACAGATGGATCTTGGCATGCAGGAAGGGATATACATACATACTGCTAGCTCCACCACTCCACAGTCACACCCTCCTCATCCCTCAGCTCAGCACCCCACCTCTTCCCACCTCTTTCCCCCTTCCTATGTGGATGTGTGGGTGGATGAGAGGACTGGGATATACTGCTAGCTTCCTCATCACAACCACCCTCCTCCTCGCCATCGCTCATCTCAATGTCCACCTCCACTCACCTCCCTCCCTCGTCCTAGCATGTGGGGTGTGTGGGCAGATGAGAGTATTTGGAGAAGAAGACAGGAAAATCAACCTGGAAATATGTCCAAGACTTTGATGAAAGCCCACATCCTTATTTGTCTGTACTTGCATGCTTGAATCTGAGCCAGTAGGTCTAGTAATTACATTGGCATATGTTTTACTGCGTTTCAGGAAGACTTCATTATCTAGATTCTGGGTGATAACATGTTTTATTTGAGCCTTAAAATTTTGTATTTATTATAGATAGCTTGCCAAGGGTTTTTGGAGTGTACAGTTTCCTCTTTCACTGAACACTGCAGCTTATACAGCTGTATTTAGATTTGGAATAGGAATGCCTACATACCATTGGCCCCTCTCCCATGACCTCTCTAACCCCTGACCTCTGACTTGTGATTCATGCCATTTCCTCCCTCAGGTGTATCCCTCATCTTGTGGAATGGGGTGTACACACGAGATCATCATTCAATGTGTTAACTTTAACCTCTGACCCATCCAGGTCTGTCCCTCATCTTGTGGAATGGTATCTATACACAAGAGAAGATCATCATCCAGTGGACTCTGCTCAGTGAAGCATGCTACTTTGCCATCCAGTTTTTAGGTGAGTGCTCAAGATGATAAAACCTTTCCTATTTCTACCAATTCACATATGTGACTGAGGGAGGCTCTTCAGACCTTCTGGCCGTATGCTCATTCCAAATGCTGATAAGAAATAGTTTGATAGGTTTTAATCTATCTAGACTTTTTGTTGATATCAAGGACCTTGCTCCTGATGTGCAATGTACTATCTTCAGACTGGGGATGAGTTAACACTGTCCTCTAGTGGTCGAGATACAGTAGCACGGTTTGGAGTCTCATTGAGCTGCAAGTGTTGAGGAGTCTCACTCTTTAGTTTCATTAAATATGAAAGGGGTATTTCCTGCTGACTGAGTGTCGTACGTTATCAATCAATCAATATATTTTTTACTCTTACAATTTTAACTGTTGTCTCAATCCTGTAATTTCAGTGACGTCAGTCACCTTAGTGGAGATAGGCTCATTGCCCAACGCTGCCATACTCCTCCTCCTCAGCCGAGTACTCTTCCTCCTGGTCACTCTGCTCTACTACTACCACCTGGGCAAAGGACGACCCAAGAAGATCTGATGGCGCCCCCTACAGGGCTGAGAGTGGACAGTTGCTTCCGGATGTGGGCTCAGAGGGAGGTGGGGTGTATTGAATGAGGTGAAAGTGTAGAAATGTAATGTGCAGTGGTGGAAAAGTACTACATTTACATACTTGAGTAAAAGTAAAGATACATTAATAGAAAATGACTCAAATGAAAGTCACCCAGTAAAATACTACTTGAGTAAGTCTAAAAGTATCTGGTTTTAAATTTACTTAAGTACAGTGGTGGAAAAAGTACTCAATTGTCAATTAGGAAAAAGTCAAAGTAAATGCTATACATTTTTTTTTCTTCGAACAGACAGGCAGACTCTCAGGTCGTGTCTACACTTGACACTTACATGCGACTTCTGCTATCAGAATACAAAGATCGCATTTAAAAGACAGGTTGTGTTTTGGGACCGAGATGCACTTTTTCATTATAACGTTGGAGGAAATACGTTCCTAGCGTGTGAGGAACGTGTTTGCTGGCCTCATAAATGCTAGCTAATATTTCGAAAAACTGTTTTTGCTTGGCTAGAGTTATGCTAACCCGTTTGCAATCCCTTTAGAGTAGCTTGCTGGCTAGCTAGATGTTAGCTGGCTAGTTAGCTACAGTAGTTAGCTACTGCCATCAGTAGTTGTGTTATTGTAATATTTGGCCTATTCCACCGTTTGTAGAATGCATACTGGCATTTGAATATAGCGCGGGAAAAGGGAATCCAGACACACTGTGGACAGGGTATACACATTTAAATGTGCAGTGCATTCAGATAGTATTCAGACCCCTTGACATTTTTCCACATTTTCTTACGTTACAGCCTTATTCTAAAATGGATTAAAAAAAAGAAAAGATAATCCATCTACATACAATAACCCATAATGACAAAGCAAAAACAGGTTTTTATAAATTTTTGCTCTCTGTACTTTGCTCCGTTCATCTTTCCCTCGATCCTGACTAGTCTCCCAGTCCCTGCCGCTGAAAAACATCCCCACAGCATGATGCTGCCACCACCATGCTTCACCATAGGGATGGTGCCCGGTTTCCTCCAGACATGACACTTGGTATTCAGGCCAAAGAGTTCAATGTTGATTTCATCAGACCAGAGAATCTTGTTTCTCATGGTCTGAGAGTCCTTTTAGGTGACTTTTGGCAAACTCCAAGCGGGCTGTCATGTGCCTTTTACTGAGGAGTGGCTTCCCTCTGGCCACTCTACCATAAAGGCCTGATTGGTGGAGTGCTGCAGAGATGGTTGTCCTTCTGGAAGGTTCTCCCATCTCAACAGAGGAACTCTGGCGCTCTGTCAGAGTGACCATTGGGTTCTTGGTCACTTCCCTGACCAAGGCCCTTCTCCCCCGATTGCTCTGTTTGGCCAGGCGGCCAGCTCTGGGAAGAGTCTTGGTGGTTCCAGACTCTACGGACAATTCCTTCTACCTCATGGCTTGGTTTTTGCTCTGACATGCACTGTCAACTGTGGGACCTTATATAGACAGGTGTGTGCCTTTCCTAATCATGTCCAATAAATTGAATTTACCACAGGTGGACTCCAATCAAGTTGTAGAAACATCTCAAGGATGATCAATTGGAACAGGATGCGCCGGAGCTCAATTTAGAGTCTCATAGCAAAGTGTCTGAATACTTAAGTAAATAAGGTATTTCAGTGTTTTGTTTTAATACATTTTGCAAACATTTGTAAAAACCTGTTTTCGCTTTGTCTTGTGTGTAGATTGATGAGGAAATACAATTATTTCATCAATTTTAGAAGAAGGCTGTAACATAACAAAACGTGGAAAAAGGGAAGGGGTCTTGAATACTTTCTGAATGAACTGTAGGTGTGGACACATGACCCGTTCGGAATTCAATGATCAGAACTCTATGATCAGAGTACTAAAGCTGCATGAAGTTGTCAAGTCTAGACACGGCCTCAGACATCATTTACAAACACAGTATTTGTGTTTAGTGAGTCCGCCAGCAGATAAGAGGCTGTAGGGATGACAACGTGTTATATTGATAGGTGTGTGAATTGGACCATATTGCTGTCCTGCCTGAGCATTCGAAATATAGAGCACATTTGGGTATTAGGGAAAATGTATTGGAGTAAAAAGTACATATTCCAGCCCCATGCTATATAAGAGCCCAGATGTTCTTATTACCCCAACAGTCAACACATGGTGGTCTGGTGGTCTCATAATATGTTCTGTATATGGAAATGAGAAAGGGTCTGATTGTGAAAATGTACTAAGAGATTAAGTCATGCTCCTCCAAAAACAGTACGAAATTGGAGCGAAATTTAGTTAAAAAGGTTCTGTCGTTGTAAAAAAATAAGGGGGTAGCAATTTGCAGTAAGGTTGTTATTGTACTGTACTTCCAAGCCTCCCAGTCACGTAACTTAGTGTGTGTGTCACAAATAATACCCTATTTCCTAAATAGTGTACTACTTTTGACAAGAGCGCTATAGGCCCTCATCAAAAGTAGTGCACTATAGGAAATAGGCTGCCATTTAGAATAGGCCCGAGATGTACAGAGTAACTTGAAACACTAGACTGTGTTTTTATGGACAGTAATTTTGCTTTGTTTTGTTTTTTAAATGAAGTATTTAGTGTGTTCTGATCTGTGGGTAGTTACATTTTGAACATACTGTAACTTCAAGGACCAATAGTTTGTTACTTGTGTTGACATTTTTTTTCCAAATTTTTAAGGTGTTGGTTGGTGACATTTTTACTTCTACTGTGCACTAAAGTGAATTCTGTATACATTATCTCTCTCTCTCGTATATCTTTCTGTCAGTCCTCCAAATTAATGACACAAGACACTGTTTTAAGGGTGAGGGGTGTAATGGCATCATAGCCATAGAAATATAGGCACTAGAACAGACTTTCCCTTTCAAGTCAACTTTATTATATTTCTATGGTCAGACCTGCTGCCTTGTATCTAAGCTGAGAGTTGATATGAAATGCTGACTCCCAAATGGTGAGGCAAATTCCAGCTGACAGACTGGTATAAAGTGTGGATCAGTGTCAGTATTATTGTCTGTGCTCAATTACATTTACATTCCTGGATCAGAACATTGAGGGAGGTCAGAGGTCATCTTTTCATTCTGTCCAATGGGCATAGAGGTCACATATGATAGAGATACCTCATAATCTGCTAACATGTTTTTGAGAGTGAGCTTACAATATGGAGCACCTAGGGAATCAAAAACATTTTTCTGGGATAAAAAACGTTTAATTCTTTAGGTATCTGTCTGTCAATATGTTTGACCAAAACAAATCAACTAATGACAAGATGTTTATAGGCCTACTGTATAGTTACACTGAAATACATAGTGACGCTTCATTGCTGCTTGGACAGTGTACATTCATTGGTTATTGATGATCATATCTCCTTTTGGTAACAATACAACTGTATTGGTCCAACTGTTACCTAACCAAATCATGCACATTTCTATGGTATGTCCATACCAATATGGTTCAAGGTAGAGTAATAACATTAGCTTAATCTTGAACTGTACACTTTTTTTTTAACTGTGCACTTAATGTGACCAGCAGAGCATGTCAGTGTTATAGTCAGGAACTTCTGTATTAGTAATGTAGCACACTTTTATACATAGCTAACATATCTGTCTTTAGTCTTGCCTTAAAACCTTTGTAAATAAAGTAGCCATATACTGTATTACTGCCATGTGGTGTAGTTCATTTTGAACAGAACAGGGAAGGTATAGATTCTATAGATCATTAGTTTAATGTTTTCCAAAGGTTAATTAAAGACCCACTGTGATTTAAGGAGTGATTCTGTAATGGTTTTTAACTGAGTAGTGACTGGAGTCTAAGCCCTATTTATTTGTTTTCATTTAAGTGATATTTGTCTTGTTTTGATGATACTTTAGTTGACAATTGCATGCAATATAGTCCCTTGTGTACAGAAATGTAGCATGTGTCTTTTACAGTAATACAGTAATACACTATACAGTAATAAAGGAACAAGAAAACAAGAACTAGAAAACTGGAGAAAACAGAAACACAATGGTGAGACCTGACAAAACAAGATGAACTGGCAACAGACAAACATAAAACGCAGGTATAAATACACAGGGGATAATGGGGAAAAATAGGAGACACCTGGTGGGGGGTGGAGACGAGCACAAGACAGGTGAAACAGATCAGGGTGTGACAGTTTCCTCACAACATAAACACATTGGCTGTGTCTGCAGTTTGGCGCCGACGGAGATGGCGGCCTCGCGACTAGCTCTTAGGAAATGTTGCTGTATTTTATTTACTTATGTATACATTATTAGTTCAGGAAATATTTTGAGTCATTACATACAGCCGGGAAGAACTATTGGATATCAGAGCGGCGGTAACTCACCAGAACTACCAGCATTATGACCAGGAATACGACTTCCCCGAAGCAGATCCTTTGTTCACTCTCCCCAGAGCAATTGAACTGATTCCAGAGGCCGACCCAAAACCTCGCCGGTGGAGGAGAGGCACTCGAGGCGGCCTGCTGGTTCGACTTAGGAGGCGTGTACACCACCCACCGCTTCCGAGTGAACAGTAGCGAGTAATATAGTCTTTGGATAACAAAGTTGATGAGCTCAGGGCAAGGATTTATTTCCAGAGAGACTTCAGGGCCTGTAACATACTTTGTTTCACGGAAACATGGCTCTCTCAGGATACTATGTCGGAATCGGTCCAGCCAGAGGGATTCTCAGTTCATCGCGCAGGTAGGAATAAATATCTCTCCGGGAAGCAGAAGAGCAGAGGTGTGTGTTTCATGATTAACGACTTATGGTGTAATTGTAGTAACATACAGGATCTCAAGTCCTTTTGTTCACCCGACCTAGAATACCCCACAATCAAATGCAGACCGTATTATCTCCCAAGATAATTTTCCTCCGTTATAGCCACGGCAGTTTATATCCCCCCTCAAGCCGATACCACGATGGCCCTCAAAGAACTACACTGGATTTTATGCAAACTGTAAACCACATATCCTGAGG